CCTGGCTAGGGCAATTTTTTTTTTTTTTTGGTCCGATCGTGGGCCTGAGCTCTGGGCCTGGGCGCTGTCCCTCAGCTCTTCAGCTCAAGGCTAGCACTCTACAACTTGAGCCACAGTGCCGCTTCCAGCTTTTTTTTTTTTCTGCTTATGTGGTGCTGAGGAATCGAACCCAGGGCCTCATGCATGCAAGGCAAGCGCTCTACCACTGAGCCACCTTCCCAGCCCCATAGGACAATTTTTTTAAAGGTGTTTTTGTTTTGTGTTGGTTTGGTTTTAGATCCTGGGGCTTGAACTTGGGGCACTGTCCTTGAGCTTCTGCTCAAGGCTAGGGTTTTACCACTTGAGCCACACTATCACTTCTGGCTTTTTCTGAGTAGTTTATTGGAAATGAGAGTCTCAGGGACTTACTGCCCAGGCTTCCAACTATGATCCTCAGATCTTCCTGAATAGCTAGAATTACAAGCTAGAGTCACTAGCACATGGAAAGGTTTATTTCTTTTCTTTTCTGTTTTTTTTTGGGGTCCGGTCGTGGGGCCTGAACTCTGGGCCTGGGCGCTGTCCCTCAGCTTTTCAGCTCAAGGCTAGTGCTCTACCACTTGAGCCACAGCGCCACTTCCGGCATTTTTCTCTTTGCTTATGTGGTGGACTCGAACCCAGGGCCTCATGCATGCAAGGCAAGTGCTCTACCACTGAGCCACCTTCCCAGCCCGGAAAGGTTTATTTCTGAATAATAAAAATAATGGCAATTTGACAAAAAGTTTTACAATTCCACTTTTTTGTCTTCTACCTTAGAAAAAGCTATTTACTAAGGAGATTCACTGCACTATTGTTTATACTAGTGAGAAACTGCTATGCATGGGATATCAGGCAGGACAAATCAGCAAATGAGGAGAGTGAATGAAGCTGGAGCATATATGTAAGTGTTGACACACACTAACAATAACAGTGCACAAAACATTACTGTCTTCTTTAAAGACACATGTATAGAAGATGAATGCATTCACAAATAATTTGATGGTCATCTCTGGGGACAGGAGACCTTTAGACCTGCTCACCCAGATATATAACTCGGACCCTTCACCTCCTTCAAGTTCTATGCTTCAATTTCTCTAATTTCCATGAGGACCAATAGTACCCAGCTTTAGCTGGTTACATCCTTCTGCTTTGTCTGTCTCCTGTATTAAACTGGCCGACAAGGTGAGGGATGTTTCCTCTTCTGGTTACCTGAAACTGCAACTCTTTTGGTACATGGAGAGAAACTTGGGCTTGTATCCTAGCCTCCTCACAGTTGCCATTGTAGATGGCATCTTCTCTGCAGATATCTTTATTGATGTGGGGTTAAAAAAGCGGTCTGTGCTGCCATATTATCTGTGAGCCTTACGCAAGATCCAGCTACACGTGGTTGGGGATCTTGATGCACAAAGTAGACATTAATCTCTTTGTAGATTTCTATGGACATACTTTTGTGGATGTAAGCCTCCAGAGAAAACTATCTGTAGTAAACATTGGTGGGAATTGAAGGTCCTCTGCCCCAGTGATGGGGAGCTCTTAAGGCTCCGGTTGTTGGTAGAGACTCGAGCTCCTGCTGGACTGCGGAAGCCTCTAGGCTGGATGCCCTGTGATGGAGCCTGAGGTGTGCGTTTAGAGCAAGACTCTGCAGCTTGACTCTATGTCAAATCACATTTCAGCAGAGGACCCTCAGCCAATGATGTAGTATACACTGGTTACCCTCTCCCATGCAGCTTACTACTTTCTAGGATCAGTCAATGCTGAAAAGAAAGCTTTCTCTATCTGGCTATGGAGTCATTGCCTGGTCTCTGCTCCCCCGTGGCGGGGGGAGGCAAGGGTTTATAATGGTGTGCTGTCAGGCTTGTCTGTCTGTGCGTCGTGTTACTAGGCACCTCTGAAAGAATTCCATTTAGCTGCACAAGGTTTTGTTTGAGGTTCAAAGTAAGCAAACTTAGAAACCTCAGTGCCACTTTGTAGGAGAAGGGGTAGGGCCACTCTGTGGGCAGAGTCTGTAACCCTTTGTATGAGATGGGATGGGGCAACTGTGGTCAGACATGGTCCTGGCTACTTTTTGAAGTCACTTCAGTGTTGTCTGAGTTACTTCCAACTATCTGTTGTTCAAATTGCTGTTATAAAGTCTGGAAAATGCTAAGAAGCATAAACTATCCACTATCCTGATATGAAGATGAGAGTTGTGTTTCTGATAGGTTTATTTACAGAGTCTCCGTGTACTGGGGCACAAAGGAACTTTCTGGGATCATGAAAATACTTAATAATATCATTGGTGTTGATTCCACAACTGAATGCATTTGTCAAAACATAAAGGGCAAGTTTTAGGTATGTGGATCGTACCTCATCCCACTTAACATAAGAATCCGCGTGGGCACTCAGTTTCATAAACAGCCGTGCCAGCATTGGTGCTTTCTTACAGAAGTGGCTCTGAGGCTACTCCACACTCCCTCCCCTGCACTGGGGTCACAGGGAGGGAGCTGTCAGTGTTCCTCCATTAAGACAATACTGAGAATGGTGTAGTCTAGATGCTGGGTGCTTTGCTAGTGGGACAAGAACTTGATACTGGCAAGATTTTTTCATGAAGTTGCATCATTCTGTCATTCTCTATGTATATATGTTGTGTTGGATGAATCTAGAGTGTCCTTAAGACATTATTTTCATTGCTATAAAGCTTTTAGGTCTTTAGGATGCTTGGTTTTTAGATCTATTTAGTATTGAGGCATCCATTTTTACTTCTTTCTATTAAAAGGGGGGGTTAGGATGGTGATTTACTTAGAGGGACAAGGTTTGCCTAGCATAGGCAAGGCCTGTTTTTTTTTTTTTTTTTTTTTT